AAGAGGCAGCTGGAGATGCAGCCACACCACCTGGGAGCAGGGCTGTGACTACCAGGAGCTAGTCCCTGTGGAGAACAGGGTGCACCCTGGAATGGGTACAGAGGTGTCTCAGAAAACCTGCAGGGGAACACCATCTGACCCAGCTGTCCCACTCCTCGGTCTATACCCAAATGACTTAAATTCAGCACACTGCAGCGATGCAGCCACATCAATGTTTACAGCGCTCCATTCACAACAGTTAAGCTGGGAACCAACCTAAATGCCCTTCAATAGATGAATGGATAAAGAAAAATGTGGTACATACACACAGTGGAGTATTACTCAGCCATAAAGAAGAACGATTTTATGACATTTTCCGGTGAATGGGTGGAACTGGAAACTATCATGCTAAGTGAAATACGCCAATCCCCAAAAACCAAAGGCCGGATGTCCTCTCTGATATGCAGATGCTAACACACAATGGTGGTGGGAGGGGAATAGAAGTTCACTGGATTAGACAAAGGGGACCGAGGGGAAGGGAAGGGGGGTGGGAATGGGCAAGACAATGGAAAGAGGCAGATTTCCCATGTTCGTATAGGAGTACGCGACCAGAGAGACTCCACACCACGCACCAGCACAGGAATGGACCTTTCCTCCAGGTGTGGACGATCTGTCCGAACACGCTCTACTGTCGTGTGTAACTGAACAGGCAGGTGGTCTCCTACACTCTCGGGGAACCCCTGCGCTTGCCTCATTTTCCTCTATCAGGCATTTTTTTCTGTATGGGAGTGTTGACTGCCTCACATCCCTCAAGTCGTGGGATGTCGGAGCAAATCCCGCCGAGGACCTGGCTGCTCCTCTGGGAAGGGGTACAGCAGATTTGGCGGTACTCAGGGGGCTGTGCAGTGTTGGGCGGCCAGGACTTGTGGCTGTCCTTCTGGGGACAAGTGTGGTGGAAGGAGACGTGCCGCCTTGGGAAGGGCTGGACTCGTGGGCCGTGGGTATCCACCTTCCCGGGTTAAGAGCGCCCAGAAGCTGGCAAACCAGGGGGTCTGTGAGTGCTCCCGGGTGGGCCGCGCGGGTCAACCAGTGGCTGAGTGAGGAGGACCCACCTTGCCCAGTGTGGGTGGCACCATCCTACAGCCGAGGGCCCAGACAGAGCTCGCAGGCCGAGGAAGGGCAAACTTGCCCCTCCCCCACCCCAGTCCCTCTCTCCTATAACTGGGGCACCACTCTGCCCATGGACGCCAGAAGCCCAGCCTCTCTGGCCTTTGGACTCCAGGACCTGCACTAGAGCCCCTGCCCTCTGATCTCAGGTCTTTGACTGGGGACAGAGAATTACACCATAGGCTCCCTGCTTCGGGGCCTTTGAACTGGGACTGATGCTCTTGGCAGCCTCCGGGTCATCCAGCTTGCACACGGCCTCCGGGGGGGGGGGGGGTCCTCAGCCTCGGAGATCAGCCCATCCCCCTGGTAACCCCACCTCTCCCTGCGTCCCCATGAAGGCTCTGGCAGGTGCCACTGAGTACACCCTGGCCCTCCCTGAGGGACCAAGGCTCTGGGGCAGCCGGGCTGAGGCTGCAGGCCTGGAATCTCCCTGGGGAATCGCTGAGAGGGCTCCGTTGGGAGAGAGGGGAGCTGGAGTCGGGATGTGCATGTGATGGCGGCAGCCACAGACCCAGCTCTGGGAGAATGGAGCCTGCATCCGCCCACTTCCTCCTCCTTCCGCCTTTTGTCCCCTGCAGACCCCCGCCTATTGTGCCACCAAGCTCGGGTGGGCCTCCCCGCTGTGCCCCACGTGCCAGCTGTGTCTGGACACACCCAGCTCCACCCCCCAGGCCTTTCCTGGGTCTCTCTCAATGCGATCAAGTGGACATTCAGACTGACCGTCGCAGGCGGGGTGTGCAGCAACTGCAGACCAGGGGCAGGTCTTGGAGTGCGGCCTCCCTCCACAGGTCCTGGAGAGGGGCCGTCCACACCCTGGCAGGGTAGGGCAGGCCCTTCCTTACGTGAAGATGCCCATTTCCTGTCCCTGAGGAGCCTGGACCCCACGGCCACCAGAGAGGGACTCAGGGTCTGGCCAGCAACTTCTGACATGGTCAAGGGGTGAAGAGCCGTTGGACACGTTCTCTGGAGGTAGAGTGAGGAAAGAGGGACCAGTGTGACGAGAATGAAGAGGAGCCAAGGTGGCCCCACCCACAGGGCTGCAGGGACATGCTCCCCGGGCAGGTGGACTCCCTCCCTCCTGCCTGCCCCGCTGAGGGCCCTCTGTCCTGAGCTGGCCTGGTGGGTCCCTCTGTTCTGGGTGCTGTGACGAGGACCACTCGACCACAGTGCCCCTCCACAGCCCCTCACATGTCCAGAGCCCTGTGGGGGAGAGGTTTATCATCTCTCCTATCCCTGGGTCATGGCCAAGGCCCCTGGACAGGACAGACTGACAAGGGGAAACACGCAGGTCTGTTAACACACATCTCACAAGACGGGGAGCCCCAGAGTGGAGAGCGCGGGTGCCCTGGAGTGTGACGCACAGAGGGGTGATGGTGATGAGGGTACAGGGAGGAGGGCCCCTCAGGTCACAGAGACCTGCCCTCGCTTCCTCCAGTACCAAGGGCCATGTTTTAAGTGGCCTGTCCTCAGCCCCGTCACTCCCAAACCTGGTTCCTTGTGTGTTGAAGAAACACGTGGACTGGGGAAGGGGACAGAGGAGGCTTCCAGACCCACGGGGGCATGGGGGTGCAAGGGGGCCTGCCCTGGGAGCAGCGCTGAGGGGCTGCAGCCAGGAGTGGGGCCAGGGGTCGGGAGTTGGCGGCTGCTGTGGGCGGGACCTTCCCTGAAGGGGCAAAGGGCAGGGACCACAGGCTTCAGGAGGGGGCTCTGATCTGACCAGAGAGACAGACGCAGGCCGGGACCTGAGGTCTACAGCTCCCCGCTGCCCCAGGTCCCCGCCACACCTGCACAATCACAGGGAAGGCACTGGGAGGACACGGAGCCCCGTCAGAGATGGCAGGGGGAGAAGACCCCGTCCACCAGGCCTGCGCCTCCCATCTGGCTTTCCATACGGAAGTGGCACCCACCTTCGGGGCTCTGGGCCTTGGGTAGTGTGTGTCCCTGAGGGGCAGGCTCCCTGTGACAGCCTGGCAGACAGTGTGTCTCTGCCTGAAGATGGGGCCGGGGCGTCCCCAGAACCACGGTCGTGTTGAGGAGGGAAGGGAGAGCCAGGGCCCTTGCTGAGGCCCGTCCCCCCGCACCTCGAGCTCTGCCCCTGCCCTGGCACCAGATCCCACTTTGGTGGCCCCTCTGCCAGCACTCCTGCCCCCTCTCTCCAGGCTGCGGTGGCCTGGCCTATGTCCCAGGAGCCCCCTCATTGGACCCACTTTATGGGGCCTCCTCGCTGCCTACCTGAGCTCCCTACGGTCCCTTTCAGATCCATCAACACCAACTCCCCAGCCCCATTCCCATGGGGTCCAGCTCCTCTGTGGGGCCCCTGACCACAGGGCCCATCCTGAACCCTGACCCTCATCTGCCACAACTCCCTGGACCGCCTCATTAGCTGGTCTCACTTTGACATTTTTTCCTCTCAATTATTCAGTATTGGTCTGGAAGCCAGAGCTGAGTTCGTGTGCGAATAGCAGCAGCAGGCACTATTGATTGCTATTCGTTTTCTTTAATCTTAATTATTAGAACACCCACCCCACCCTGCCCACAGCCCGGTCTTCCCACTGAGGACCAGCGTCCACCCATCCCCGCCTGTTCTCGGGGCTGTTCCAAGAGCCTGGGCCTAAGTGCACATCGCAGCCATTAGGGCCTCCCCAGAGCCCGTCCACTCCAGTGGGAGGCAGCGATAGTTAGATTCCAGAACCTTCTCTCTGCTGTGTCTACCAGTTCCTCCTGTCTCTGACCATTCCCAGGCCCAGACAAGACTCCTCACTTTGAAAGACCCATCTCCAGCCAGACTTTCTGTTCTCTGTAGACCACTGGCTTCCCCTGTGGACACTGCTCCATCCTGTGGGTGGGGGACCCTCCCCAGGTCCAGTGGTCCCTCCAGCCTGTCTGGGTCCACAGGCTGGGGACAAGTGAGGCTGCACTCGACAACTCAACCTTCCTTCCCTGGGCTCATGCTGCATCTTCAGGTCTCAGGGCAGCCCTGTGTGGGGTCCCTGTGGGGGACACAGGCCTCCCTGTGGCCCTGATCGTACTGCAGTCAAGGGCCAGTTCGCCAGCTGGTACCTGCAGCAGTGAACGACTCCTGGGAGTTCAGGGGAGAGGCCTGGACAGTGAGGGTCTGGCCCAGGAGGCTCAGGGCCATCCTCCACAACAGAGGGTGAGGCAGGAGGAGGTGGGCCCCATCTAGGGCAGGGCGACTCTGACCAGAAAAGACTGCGTTTGGGCAGGTACCAGCCCTGCATGAGCCTGGTCAGTGCTGACAAGCAAGAACTGGGTCACCCATAATGTTCCCTCCAAACCCATGGTGGTCGGGTGGAGGTGGGGACCAGACGGAAGCCACTAGGTCCCCCCTAGGTTCTGCTCTACGGGGCTGGAAGCACCAGGGCATGGAGCTGGCCCCGGTCACCTGCCAGCCTGGCTGTCCCCTTAGGGAACTGGGGTCCTGACATGCCTGTCCTCACAACTAGGCTCTTGTGGCAAGGAATCTTTTCCCCCCAAATCCCATATTTCCCTGAAAGTCTGGCTCCCTCTTCCTGTCCTCTACAAACGAACATCAGAAAACACGGTTCCCGCTCCTCCTGGGATTTCAGCCCAGGTCTTGTTAACATCTATAATTTTGGTCATGAAACACGTCAGCCTGACTTTGACCTGCACCAACGCAACTGCTACTTGCAGGACCACAAGAGGAGTTACCTGGGTTACGCCCTGCCGTGCTGCCACACACACACACGTGTTTGTCTTCGCAGGTGGTTAGTGGGTTTCTTAGGATTTTCTATATAACAGTATCATGAAATGAGCAAACAGTTTTGTCTTGACTTGTCCGGGAGGCTGTAACAGAATACCAGAGGCTGGAAAGCTTAGAAACAACAGACATTTATTTCTACAGTTCTGGAGGCTGGAAGACAACGACGGAGATGCTGGCAGACCTGGCATCTGGCGAGGGCTGCTTTCCTGGCTCACAGATGGTCATCTTCTGTGTTCGCGTGTACTGAAAGGAACCAGGGGCAGTGGCACACACCTGAATCCCAGTGACCCAGGAGGCTGAGGCAGGAAGACTGTCTGCTCAAGAGCAACCTGGGTGATTTAGTAAGACCCTGTCTCAAAAAAGGGGGGGGGGTGTCTCAGATGTAGCTCAGTAGTAAAGTGACCCTAAGTTCAATCCTCAGTACTAAATCAATCAATCAATAAATCGAAATTCTGACAGAAATCAAGCAGGGACCTCTCTTGGACCTCAATTTTGTCCGGCAGTACTAGGGATTGAACCCAGGGGCGCTTTACCACCGAGCTACTCCCCAGCCCTGAGCTTCTTCTATCAGGGCCCAGGTCTAGCTCTTGAGGCCCGGCCTCATCTCCTGAGGCCCCCTCCATGTGCCATCGCCCGGTGGGCACGATTTCAGCCTGGGGCACCCACATTCAGACCAGGGCCCTGGACTCTTTCCAACATGATGTTTTCTACGCGGTTCTCCTGCCTGGTCGCCTGGGCTAGCCCCCCAGGAGAGTGTTGAATGCAGGTGTTGAGTCCTCTCCCACCGATCGGGACTGTGCTGTGGTCCCCGCAGCTGCCCCCACGCAGAGCCCAGGGCTCCTGCTGCTCTTCCTGCACCGACTGAGACGGAGCCGCGGCTCTGTCCTGTGCGACTCGGATCGTTTCAGGACACTGACCTCGCTCCCTCTCCCTTTTCTCTCCTTCCTGACCTGCTCTTGACTCTGTGGCCAACACCAGGGACAGTGGCAGGCCCCCTTGCCATAGCAGGCTCTGCGTACACAGCAGCTTGTTCTGGTTGGGGCGGTCTTCATGGAGATCAGGCTCAGAGGGGTCCTGTGCCCTCCCCAACCAAAAGCTGCTCTGTGGGGGCCTGAGTCATGGGCCCTGGGCCTGTGCCAGCCGAGGAGTCTCTCAGTCACACCCGGCTCACAGGAGCCCTTGTCTGAATGCTGAGGCTTTGGGCCCCATTCCAACCACCCGCAATGCTGCGCAGCGGCCATGCCACAGGGGGGAAACTGAGGAACCAGCCCGCAACCACACGGGCTCCCTTCCCCACCTACTGCCAGCTGTGCCTCGTCAGCCCAGCAGCCCCCCTTATCCTCAGGCACAGCTCATCGGTGCTTGTCCACAGTGGCTTGCAGCTGCAGTGGAAGCTGGGCTGGGCTCAGACGACTCCAGAAGCCCTCCCCAGTGTGCTCTTGGGCACCCACCAGCCGCAGAACCACACAGACACATGTCACAGATGCTGCCACCAGGAGTCCTGAGGTCCCCACAAGGTTGAGCTGGTGGGCGGCTGGGCAGGGTGCTTCAGGTGTGGGACCCTGAGAGGCAGCCTATCCCCCCAGCAAGGCTCCGGTGCCAACGGGACTGAGGCAGCTCCCTGCCACTGTGTCCTCATTCAACCCCAAAGCCAGGCCTGGGGAACCCACCCATTGCCCCCACTGCAGCCCCATGGAATGTGGAACCACTGTGGTCCTTGGCCCAGACGCCTGCCCACCTCTTCCAGAGCTCACCGCCTGCCTGCCCTGTGTCAAGCCCCGCCCCCTCCTGGAGGGCTTCCTTCTGTTCCTCCCACCTCGCCCCTCCCCTGGAATGCTCCTCTGGCTCCAGGCTGGCTCCAATGCAGGCGCAGGCGTCAAGGCCTGGCTCCTTCAACACGGCCTGCTGGAGGGGGTCCCCATGCCCCTCCATCAACATCCTTGGAACCACTTCCCTCCTCAGCACGGATATGACCATCATATCGAGCGGCACCTGTCACCCCCATCAGAGCCTAAGGTCCTTGAGGGAAGGGGTCCTGGCTGCCAGGTGCTCCACAGCCAGTTCCTGGAGCAGTGCCTGACACAGTGGGCATCTGAGAAATGTTTGTGCATGACCAGAGAAGAGGACAGAACAAGCTGGCCAGGCAGGGCCTGCCTCAGGCTGGTGGACCAGGGATGTAATGCGCATCCCACACCTTTGGTGAGCAGTGTCCCATCCCTGGAGAGAGCAGGGAACTGCTGGGACAGCAGACATCCGGGGCATGCAGAGAAACACCCCCCCCCCAAGAAGGTCCATTCTGCACCCTTTTAACAGAAAGCACCCCACAGACCCCCATATGGAGACTGACATCCTTTACTGTAGTTCACTCTGACACGCGTGAACACAGAACTACGCGGTGCTGCTCAGATGCAAGCGCGAAGCATAAACAGATTTACAAATTGACCACCAGAAAGAATTGCTCTGTCCAGGAAGGTATCCACTGGCCACCATCTATGACATACAACTAACACTTCCATGCCTTGGTGGCCACATTCCCAGTGCCCACTGCTGCCATGGGCAGTGATGCTGCTGAGTCGGATTGGTCAGGTGGTGAAGGTTGGGTTTCCAAAGGTGGCCCCACATGGTCCCCAGGTGAGGCTCTGTTCATGAAGCAGCCCCATCCTCCAGCTTTTGGGGAGAGGAGGACATAGGACACCTTGGTGGAGGTGTCACCTATGGTGACAGATATCATTCCCTCTTCACCTGGGGAGAAAGCCCTCCTCACTGGGAATCAGAATCGGTCCTCATTTCCTTACCAGAAGCAGTGAGGCCAGCAGGACCCCACACCTTCAGGAAGGCGGCTGGAAGACCTGGGTGAGGGGGCAACCAGGACTCGGCGTGAGATGCACAGTACTTGGAGGTTTCTTGCAGGTGTTTGGTGCCTGCTAGATATTTAACGCGGGTCTGGGGATAACCTCTGGGTGCACCAGTGGCCTTTCCAAAGGCAGACTCCACTAACAGCAGCCAGCGACGCCCCTTTCTATGGGACAAGGGCCTGCTGACTAAAATCACTATCTTCAGGACCTTCAGGCCCAACTTCATGCCCACCCACTTTCCTTCCCGAGAGAGTAATGCGAACAAAGCGCGCTCTTAGCCTGAGAACATTTCTCTGGCCCCACGCGGCCTCCAGGAGTCCTCCCAGAAGGTCCCGGGAGCCTGAGGCAGGAAGAAAGAGGTCGGTCCTCAGGCGCGGCTTTGCAACCAGCCCCGGGGGCTTAGAGCCTTACTGAAGTTCCAGGACGCGTCCCAGCCGCACCAAGGTCGCGAACCCCAAAGTGCTTGTGCACCGGAAGGTTGAGGGAGGTTTTGCGGCCCCTGCCCCGCGCCCGGCGGCAAGAGGCGGGGCAAGGGGGAGGGGCGCGGAGGGCTGCGGAGGCGGGGCCTGAGGGGGGCGGGGCCGCAGCGGCCTATAAGCGACGCGGACGGGTCGCGCGCCTGGCCACAGAGCGAGCGCGCAGCCGAAGAAGCAGCGGCGACCCCTGCGCCACCCGGGCCTCGCGTCTGCCTGTCGCCCGCGCCTCGCGCCCGCAGGTCGCTCGGGCTCGGCGTCCTGCTCGCCGCGCCCCGACCCCCCCTGCCCATCAGGCCCCCCGGCCCGCCCGGCCCCGCGTCCCCGCGCGCCCGAAGCCCAGGACCGGCCCGCGCCCCGCAGGCCTCCCGCCGCCCGCGCCGCCATGGGGGTGGAGGGCTGCACCAAGTGCATCAAGTACCTGCTCTTCGTCTTCAATTTCGTCTTCTGGGTGAGCCGAGGGGAAGTGGGGGTCGCGGCGGGCGGGGGCCAGGCGCACCCCCTTTCGGGCAGGCCCGGCGGCAGCGCTAGGCCCCGTGGCGGGGTTGCGGCGCGGCGCGAAGTTGAGGGGCCACCTGTGGGCTCCGGGCGCAGTGCGGGATCAGGGCCGCCGCGCCCCTGGGCAGCCGGGCCAGGTGTCCGCGCTTCGCGGCCCAGCCCCCCCGCCCCGTCCGTCCCGTTAGTCTGGGGACCACTAACCTGTCCCTGTTGCGTGATGGCGATGGTTGCGGGGCGTGTGAACCCGCATCCCGGACTCCAACCCCTCAGCGGCGGCGGAGCCCGCGTGGCCCTCTTGGCCACTGTTTCGGGGACCACCCTGCTTCGCTGGTACTGAGGGGCCTCTAGGGCGGGACTCCCGGCGCCCCGCCCCCATGAGCTCATCCGGGCCACCGCCCCTGGATGGGCGGCCGAGAGCTGGGGCTTGGGGGCGCACACTTTCCTCCAGCCGTGAGCACAGTCTACACCACTTTTCTTCCTGCCCTGCTCACCCTCCAGTCTGGAGACCGTCCTGGGGGTCGGGTTTAGGGCGGAGTGCACAACAGGATGGCCTCATGCTGGTGCGCGCCTTGCCCCAGTTCTGGAGGCCCATCTTACCCTCCTCAACCACACAGATTCCAGCCCCAGTATGGCCCCCACGGGCCTGTGGGCCTGTGGAAGCTTTGCGGGGAGTGAGGCCCCGGGCTGAGTTGACACAGACTGAGGGTGACCCTAAAGATCAGAATCTCTCTGCGCCCGGGCTTTCCGTTCCTGCTGATGGTCTGGGCTGGGTTGTCCACTTTTTGGAGTGCAGTCTCCCCTGGTCTCCAGGCGGGCAAGGAGCACTTTCTCCTCTGTGGCTCTGGCCTTTTGTTTCCATTTCCTGCGGAGTTGGAATTGGGAAGGGGTGGAGACTCTTCCCAGCCTGGGAATGTGGGTGGGTGTTGCTGGCCACTCCTCTGGGCCCCCAGCTGCTGTGCACCCCAGGCTCCCTTCTCAGGAATAGGGCCAAGCACAGGCAGTCTGTGTCTCAAGTTGAGGCAGGACGGGTAAACTTACAAAGCAGCCCCTGGAGTGAGTGTGTGGGACTGGGGACATCTGTTTTCCATCTGGACAGCCAAGGATCCCAGGGTGGATCTAGGGTCAGTGGGATGCTTGTGGGGGAGACACACTGGTCTGGACCCTGCTGGAGTAGGTTTGGGGGGCACAGCATGTCTTGCCAAGCCAGGCAGTGCCGCATGGCCTGCTGCAGCACACCATCTGGGAGCCAGGGCGGCCACGGGGAGCAGCAAGGCCATGTGGGATGGGCTGGCCCTGCCTGGCATGGCCCTGGGGGCCGCTGCTGAGTGGTAATGTTGATCGGTGTTTTTCTGCTCTGGACCAGACAGGTTGGAGGCAGGCCTGTGCCAGGGTGTCCGTTTGCTGGTCTTGAGTCCCGGCTGTAACTGAGGACCCTGCAAGGAGTTGAAGGGCAGGCAGGAAAGGGGCCTCCTTTTGGCCTCTGGGCTGTGCATCAGCCTATGAGGCCCACCCACTGCCCCAGCTGGGAGGGCGCTCAGGCTCCCCTGGGAGCTGGGCCTCCAGGAGGTGGGTTGTTTCCCAGGCAGCCAGGATGAGGCCAACACATCCCCCAGGGCGCTCCTCCTGCCCATCCCAGGGGCCTGCCCAGCGCAGAACATGTATGTCTTTTTATGTTCACAGTTCTGTGGACCCATCCACTCATGCTGGACCCTGCACTGGCTGGAAATTCAGAGTTGAGCTGGGAGGGCCTGGAAGAGGAGCCCCTCTGTCCCCTGCATCGCGGGGCTGGTCCTGTGGCTGAGAGCACCATGGTGCCAGGGATGGACCTAGTTGAGCCCAACTCCGCTGCTCCAGTGCTGGGCCTCTGCTTTCTGCTGCTCAGGGGGGTCCTCACGGTCCCTCCCCAAGAGAGACTGGGGCTGTGGGCAGACTAGCTAATGTACCCGAGTGTGGGACAAGGGGCTCGGCATGGGGAGAGCTCAGGAAATAGATGCAGGGCACGATGTCCAACAGGGTCCAACCAGGGAGAGTGAAGCTGAGGGTAGGAAGTGCGTGGGAAGGGGCTGCCGTTCCCGGGGCACCTGGAGGACCCTGCCGCGCCTGGCCTGACGTGGACACAGGGCAGTACCAGGGGCTCATGGGAAGCTGGGTGAGCACAAATTGACAGTGGGTGTCTGGATGCGGCACTTTTTTTTAAAGTTCTGTTTAGAGCGGAAGAAAGCGTCCCTGTGGTTGGAGCACCCCAGGCCGCCTCGCCTGCCTCTTAAGAAGCGCTGTGACAACCTGGTCTCTCACGCACACTCCCATTGCTGGCTCTCTCCTACACTGAGACGCAGGGCCCCAGGCAGCCTTGGGCTCTCAGCCTCTCCTGACTGGCTGCTGCTTTGGGGCTAGTGAGGTCCCGGACACTCTGAGTGTGTGGGCAGCAGGCATAAGACAAGGGACAGGGCAGGAGGATGAGCAGCAGACCGGCCCAAGCAGGGGAGACCATGCAGATGCCTAACCAAGTAGTGAGGACATCCAATCCCTTGGGGTGGGTGCAGGGGCTACTACTGGAGCATTGGTGCCCAAGACTTGCTGCTTTGAGACTTGCTACTGGGAGTAGGGCAGGAAGGAGAGCAGGGCCCTGTCCTGGGACAGGTGACTGGCCTGCAGAGCCTCCCTTCTCATCTTGTGAAATGGGCATCATGATGGTCTTCTCCATGGCTTCTGGCCAGGGAGCCCGGGAGAGGTGCTACCAGTCTTTGCTGGAGAAGGGTCCTATCTTCTGCCCAGAACTGGCTGCCCCTCTGGACTTAGGTGACTGGTGGCAAGCCCACCGCAAAGGAGACTGATTAGCAGCCGCGCTAACTGGCATTCAATATTCCCCTCAGACAGCACATGACTGTCACTTGGTGACTGTGGCCTTTCTTCCCGCAGGGGGGCTACGGTCCAGACAGGCTCTGGGTGGGGGCAGGGCTTCCTGTGCCTGGTTGCACCCAGTGGGCGAGTGGACTTCCCCTGGTGCCCCAGGCTGTCTGGCTTCTGGTTGCCCAGCTTTGGGGAGACAACCGTCAGTCCAGGATGGGCTGAGAAGAGGAAGTCTGTGGTTTGTCCCTGGCCATGCTGGCTCCAGTGAGGGTGTCTGCAGAGAGGGGCACAGAGCTGCCGCAAGGAGGCAGGGGGCCTGGGACCCTGGTGCCCCTCCAGCTGGCCCTGCTCCAGGGCCCACGTGTTGCCACTGTCTAATGAGAGGCCCCTCTCTGTTCCTTCTAGGGCACGCCAGGCCTTCTCCCACCACCTCCACCCCAGCTCAGGTCTGGCTCCAGAAATCAAATCCAGTCCCAATTCAGTCTTAGCTGCCTCCAAGCCCAGACAGGGAGGCTGACCCCACACCCTCCCAACCCAAAGTCCTGCAGTCCTCCAGATCAATAAGGTTTAGAGTCCAGGCACCATGGAGGGGGCAGGTTCTCACCCTTGCACTGGCCTTGGGTTTTGGAACCCAAGGCCTGGCACACAGACCAATCAGGCAGTGAGTGCCAGGTGATCTTCCAGCACTGGAGGCGTCCACCTTGTTCCCTGGACAGCTGCATGAACAACCAGGCTCATCCAGAATTGGCTCTCAGGGGCCTGCACCTGTCCAGTACTCTGACCCAGCATGCCGGGTGGCCTTCCAGGAACCTCTGGACCTCCTAATACCCTGTCCCCTCTACACAGTACTGTGTACCTCTGGGTGCAGCAGAAGCCACTTTACCTGGCGGGCTGCGAAGCAGGTGCTGAAGTTTTTGAGATGACTGGTTCCTCTGGGTGGCCTCTGTGGCTGGGGACATCCCTGTGGCAGAGGGCCAGGCCCCAGGGGCTGGTGCATGGTCAGCTGGTAGTTGGCTTTTACTCCCTGTGTGGCAGGGCAGCAGCCTTTGCCGTCCCAGCACTGTGGCCATGGGAGGGGAGGGCTTCTAGCCGGGGGCCGCCGTCCTCCAGGGCTCCAGGTCTGGTAAAGGCTGCGGGTACAGAGAGGTGCATTAGAACCAGATGCCCAGAGTTTCGTAGTCTGGAAACGCTGAGTGGGTGGTGAGGGTCCTCCTTGAAGGGGCAGAGCGTGCCCAGTGTGGGGTCCCCACGCCATGGAGGTGAGGTGGGGCAGGGAGCCAGACGCTAGGCCTGGGCTCGGAGCCCTGCTCTCCTCTCTGAAGATATGCCCTTTTCTGATTTGGAGAGGTAATTCATCCATCTTCACCCTTGCCCCAGTTATTGAGGTAACTTGGCCATTATCAGGAAGGGGAAGGCCCAAGGGCCCCAGCAAGGAGGCTCTGGGCACCCCGTGCTTCCCCGAGTGGCAGCTTACTCCCGTCACGCCCCCCGTCAGCTGGATCCGCAGTTTCTCCGGAGGGTCTGTGTGGTCACCTGTGGCTGCACGTTGAGCTCGTGGTGCAGCTGCCAGTGAGCTTCTGGTGGTGTCTCGAGGTGCTCCGCGCGACAGGGTGTGGGAACAAGGTCCCTGGTCCCCTGCCCTGCCAGAGCTCCAGTCCTGGGCTTGGAGCTTGCGCTCTGGGGTAGACCCCTGGCTTGTGAGGGCCAGCAGCCTGCAGCCCTGGGGCTCTCGGGGAGCCCAGCCCTCACGCAGCTCCCACGGCCGGGCCGGAGCCTCTGCCTCCTGCTCCCCTCCTTGGGTGTAGCAACTCAGCTACGCAGACACTGCCCACCTCTGTGCCCGAGGAGATGATAGTGGCTCCTGAAGTAGCACTGTGCCAGGCAGGGCCTGGGAGACCCTGGCCTCCAGCTGTGCGGGGCTGTTTTCAGACCAGACCGTTGGCGATAAGGAGACTGAGTGCAAGCAGCCACAAACCGCAGGAGCAGGGGGCGGGGGAGGCTGGGACTAGAGCCCGTCCCACAGCCTCTGACTCCTCTGTGTCCTGGCTCTGGGCTTCCCTGGGGCAGGCGGTCGTACCCAGGTGGGAGCAGGTACAGCCCTGAGCCGGCTGAGTGCTGCTGGCTGTGACACCTGGCCTACCCATCCTCGGACCCTGCCTCCCGTGGCTGTCCCCACACCTCTTTGGAGCACACAGCTCCGAGGGTCCTGGTCACCTGCAGCCCCCTGCACATCTCTGGCAGGCCACTCCCCACAGGGCCACTGGGCTTCCCAGTGGAGGCAGACGTGTGACGAGCAAGCAGGGCACCTCGTGGCTAGCCTGCCTCCGGTGAGGGGCAGCCTCAGGGCCAGCCCACTCCCCGCACCCAAGTGCTCATGTCTTAGTCCGTTGCATCCCAGCTGGACGGCAGGACCAGGTCTAGGTCCTCTCTTAGCATTTATTTTTAGACACCGGACAGGCGGCTTCCTGAGAGCCCAGTGAGCGGCGCTGCTGCTTCCTGGCCGAGGTGAGCGGCTATTCCTGCTCTCGCCGGGCTTCCTCCTTCCTGCCCAGCCTCCGCAGCTCCTCTCCTGAGGCCTCACTGGGCCCTAGAGGAGTGGCTGCCTCCAAGGAGGCCTGAGAAGGGTCCTGTGTCCCCCAGGGAGGAGGACTTGTTCCCGTCCCACACTCGGACCACGCACTGTCCCTCACAGTGGGCGGAGAATGGAGCTCGGTCTGCAGGGACCCGGGCTAGGGAGGACGGTGGCTGGCCTCCCCTTGGTGGGCTCCCCGCCACCCAGGTCACCTGAGCATCCTGCCTTTCCTCCCTCTCCACCTCCAGCACCCCAGCTGCTGAGCGGGCAGGCGCTGGGACACTTCCCAGCACATGCGTGCACCCTGACCCTGGCAGTGAACAGACTCGGAGCCTGAGACACCCCCACTTTCCAGAGGCAGGGGCAGGGTCTGGGCTGGAGTTAGGTGCCCAGCTTAAAGGGGCTAGCCGACATGAGAATCGTCCTTGTCCTCTGGCACTGTGGGCAGCACTTGAAGTGACCCCTTGGGCCAGCCAGCTGGGGGACTGGAGCCTCACCCTTTCTTGGAGGGGCACATGTGCTAAAGTGGGAGAACCCCCAAGAAGCCCCGGCTCTGGCTGCGTCCTGAGTCTGGCTAAGGGTCACTCACTGTAGGCAGCTGGCATGGAGGAGGAAGCTGCCCCAAGCCTGCACCCCATCAGCTGCTGCTGGGAAACACCAACAGGCTGGGCAGGGACCCAGCGTGCTGGCACCCCCCTTGTTGACGTCGAGTCTGTTATTTATTAATTCTCAGGAAGGAGGAAGAAACAAAACCCTTCACAGAGTCATGAATACGCCTTTCTGTTCCCTTGTGTGGAGGCCTCCAGGAACCTGGGCACGTTACCTGGGCGCTCGCTCCACCCCTGCCCCTGAGCAGGGAGTATGTTTGGTGGCAGGAGTATCTTGGGGTCAGGGAGCAGGTGGGAACTGCTTCTGCAGGCAGCTTTGAGCGGACATGTCTCCGAGAGGGATCGAGAGGACATTGCAGACTGCTTGTTTCTAAGGCCTAACTGATCACATCCCGAGTGCTGTCCACAGCTGGGTACTGTCCACCGTGTGGCCCGTCTCTGTGTGGGAGCTTCTGTGCCTCTACTTCATTTTACAAGTGAGAATCCTGGAGGCAGGAGCACTGAGATGGGCTGCAGTCACTCGGTCAGATGTAGCCCGGCAGCCGGGGGCTCGGGCCTTCCTTCATACCCAGCTCTGTCACTCCTCATTTTCCATGGACACTGGGCTCTTTACTTGGCCTCTGTGTTCTGCAGTTACACAGCTGGGTTTTCCTTCTCTGTGGACAAGACTCCAGCATGTGCAGATGCTTGCTGCTGGCCACGGGGACGTCTGGCTCCTGCCCAGGAAAACACGAGTGTCAGGAGGTCCTTTCTCCCCTTAGTGGTCAGTCTGCAGGACACGGGGGGGCGGGGGTTCTCGAACAGCTTTCTGTGGATGCAGATGGCATGTGGCACTGGCCTAGGATTACAGTGTACAGCGGAGTAAGTCTTGACACGCTGGTGGCCCCGTGAAACCGTCGCCACTGCGGGACGTGGGGTCCTTTGTCCTTCCTCCCTGCACTGTGCTGGGCTGTGGCCTGGACCCCCTCGCAGTCCTGCTCACACAGGTGGAGTCAGAAGGTGCCTGCTCTTTTGCTGTCCTGCCCCTTTTCGCTGATGAGGGTCCACGCAGGATGAGCCCCAGGCCCATAGTCGCCAGCGCTGGGCCCACAGGCTGTTCCTAGTTTGGGGCTGAACAGGAAAGAACCCGAGTCTTGTGTGAAGCTGGGCTCCTTCTCTTGGGTGAATACCTGGAGGGGCCCCGGGTGTGCGGCAGGCGTGGGGCTGACTTCAAGGAGGTCTGAGCATCAGCCACGGCTGCGCTGGGCCCTTCGAACCCTACTGCTGCCCTCATGGGCACAGGGGTGGCGGTCATTTTCTGTCTTAGGCAGCCTGGTGGTCGGGTTGGGGTTGTTCAGTGCTGGGTGCTGGAGGGTGGCCCCCGTCCGTGCGTGGTGCTGGCCCTGTGTCGTGTGGTGCCCGTCCTGCCTCTGTGCGCCTTGGGGGCTGGCTTCCTTGCCGTCGAGTGCCGAGCATCCTCTGGCCACAAGCCCTTTGTTATGCGCGTCCCATCCCAGCTGGGGCTGCCCTGATTCCCTGGTCTCTGGAAGAGGACTCTTACGAGCTCTGACTCACTGGGGACCTCCAGCTGCCCTCCTGGGCCCCTCCTGGGGGTCTTTCCCTGCCCTCCCTCTGCCTTCCCACTGCTGTTCTGATAGAAGATCTCGGGACCCTTTCAGTTTGGGGGTCTGGCTCTCCCCTGCCTGGAAGGCCCAGCCAGCCCCTTGCTAGGGCGAACCTAGAGGTAGCCTCCTGCCACCCGACCCTGAAGTCCCGACAGGAAGCCCTCTTCCTTGAGCAGATGGAGAGTGGTGACTCAGCCCCATCGCATCACCAGCTCGGGTAGCTGAGCACTGCTCCCCCTCACCCTCAGGAGGTGCTGCCCCCAGCCCCTCAGCTGCATGGAGAAGGTAGGGGTGCCCCACCCAGCCTGGGAGGCACGGGGTGGGGTCAGCCCCTGCGGAACAGCTGTTGCCTGCCCAGCTGTCTTACAGGTGGGGACACTGAGGCAGAGGAAGGGGGGTGACCACAGCTTCCACAGCTGAGTCAAAGTTTGTGACCAGGCCTCTGGGACCCCTCCCGCTTCAGGAGCCCCCCAGAACATGTCTCCATGAACTCTGAACCAGCTTCTAAACAGAATGCGTGACGTCTTCAGAGCCTCCATGGGAGCCAGAGTTACCAGGCAGCTCAGCCTGCCGCCTGCTCCCCTAGAGCCACAGACGGCAGCTGGCTCAGAGGAGCCCAGCGTGGCGCCCTGGGGCTGCCCGCCATCTCCTCCTCAGAAAGCCCTGGGGACCCCTGGCACCACCACAGGGCCTGGTCACGAGGGACGTGCTTGGGGCCCCAGCGGCCAGGCCGTTTCCAGTTTGGCCAGCAGGGCCCTCAGTGGCAGCAATGTCCACTGTGCTGGCTGATGGGAATGAGCCCCCGCCAGGGCCCTGACGGGTAAGTGGGGCCTATTCCTCTCCCACACGGGAGGGGCCGGTGCAGTCACAAGAGCCACTGGAACCGCAGTAGCGGAGATGGACGGGTTCACCAGGAGGACGGCCTGGCCTGCTGACCTGGGGGTGCCTCGGCCCTCGCCCTGAAGGCCTGGGGGCCACAGCTCCTGGCCGGCCCACTCCCCTCCAGGACTAGAGCCAGCCTACCTGGGGATCCCCAGGCCACTCGGGGCTTTCCTTCGGTGCCGTTGGTTGCCCGCGCTGTCCTACGCGCATCTCCCTTCCCCCAGGCCCTGCTTCCCTGGCCAGGACCGGTGGAGCGGGACCTGGCCACTGGGTGCTTTTCTTGAGGCCCAGTTTCAGTTTCTGTTCCTGTTTGACAGCTCTGAGTCCACTGTGGGGTGAGCATCAGCCCGGACTTGCAGACCAGGGGTGGGGCCTGTCCCTGCAGGTGGCCCTAGCACAGCACCCCACATGCCTGTTGGAGGGCAGCCCGCCTCTGGCACTCACTGCCAGTGGTGACCAGAAGGGGGTGCAGTGCCTCCCCAGAGCTGTGCTTGGTGTGTCCCCATGCACCTGCCTCCAGGAAGCCCCCCGTGGCCTGGCCCTCCGCAAGGGTGGAGTGGAGGATGAAGGCAGGGCCCTCGAGGCCCAAAGGAGCTGGTGGTGGGTCCCCCATGGGAGACCCTGACTGCCACTCAGACCTGTGCCGTTGCCCCTGGCAGGGCCTCATCAGCATGTGCCTCCCCAGGGTCTCTGCCCAGGTGTCAGGCAGGTCTCCATGTCCTCCAGCGAAGTAGAGGTCCCCTACCCTGACAGTCCAGGGGATGTGGGCCCCACTGTGAGTCAGGGACCCCAGAAGAGATCGATTCTGTGGTCCCAGGGTTACAGTGTCCCCGGGTTGAGGGATTGTGGGACTGTGTGAAGCACAGCAAGGGCAGGGAGGGGCAGTAGGAGTCCGAGGGACAGTGTCTGTGCCCTCTGCTCCTCTGAAGTCTTTGGCTGAGAGGTGCTGGAGTAGAAGAGGGCCGGGGCAGGCAGGACGCAGGGTGTCCCGCCATTCCTGGGGACTGTGTGTCTGCCGGAGCCCTTCATGGTGCCAGGTACCAAGAGCCGCAGCAGGGTGAGCCTACAGCCACCACCCCGGGGCGTCTGTGGCCTGAGGAGGGAGGGCCAGGTGCCCGGGCCCAGCAGGCATCTAGCCTGGTCAGCTGCTGGGGAAAGACGGGCCTGGGCCTGGTCAGGACCTGCCTCAAGGGCAGTCCCCAGCTGGCTGAAGGAGGTCGTGGATACACAGGATGGCCTGTGGTGGAGGGCTCCCTCAGCCTGAGCCTGTCCCCTGCATGGCAGCCCTGAGCAGGGACCCCTCCCCAGCAGCCACTTCCTCCACAAGCCACAGCCGGTCATGCCCCTGCCACTTCCTGGAGGCCACCAGATCCCCGCCCCCTTGGAAAAGGCCCAACAGTCCTTAGGGGCTCAGGTCCTGGTGTGGCCTCTGGCCAGCTTTAGGACAGAACGTCAGGTCAACCTGGCATTGGAGATCCATGGGTTTCCTGAGTGTCCCTGCAACGTTGGGCATGGGTGGACAGCAGTAGTCTTCCTTGTTGATCTGAAATTCACGTTGTACATCCTGTGTCACCTGGCAGCCCTGCCCTGGAGTCACAGCTCAGGTGCTGGGGGTGGCCCTTGGGTTCCAGTGAATGGTGGCCAAAAGACCAGTCTGTGGTCCCTGCTGAGGCCCCCTCCCCGACTGGAGGTGCTGTCAGCAGGCTACATGTGACACTGCTCCCCACTCTTTCTCCAGCTGGCCGGAGGCGTGATCCTGGGTGTGGCCCTGTGGCTGCGCCATGACCCTCAGACCACCAGTTTGCTCTACCTGGAACTGGGAGACAAGCCTGCACCCAGCACCTTCTATGTGGGTGAGTGACACGTGGCACAGGGTCTGCTCAAGAGCCCAGGGCTTCCGGTGCCTTCCAGGAGGAGGCAGGGCCCGAGGGTAAGTGGGCATCAGTACGGGGTCCCAGCCAGCTCCAAAGGGGCTCTTGGAGCAGGAGGATTGACCCAGGGATGGGCATGTGGCTGCTGGGGACCCCACTAATCACCACGGACTAGGCTGGGGCCAGGGAGGGCGGGCAGCCGGCAGGGCTTGGGGATTGGTTTCAAGATCTTATTTTAACTCAGGCATTTCTGGGGAGGCTCTGGGTGGGTGGGGCTGGATGCCTGGGCTGCGTTGGAGGCTTCCTCCTCCCCCATGCTGCTGCCACACCTTGCTACCTTATTAGGCTGCCTGTGGGGGACTGAGCCTCCAGCGCCCCAGAGGCAGGGTGACCAGGATGACCCTGGCTGTGCAAGCAGCCTTCCCCCTTGCCCTCCCTTGGAGGCGGGCCTGGCGCCTGCGAGTTCTGGCAGTGTTGATGTTTCTGCCCTTTAAAGGAGGGGCCCCTGGTTCAGGGCTCCATCTGAAGCCTGCTGCTGTCCTCCGTCCTGGTGGGGCCTGGATGGGGTGGGGCCCTCTTACCAACTTGGAAGACATGCTGGCTGCTGAGTAGGTCCTGGGAGCCCAGACATGCCCCTCCCTGTCCCACCTGGGTGTCCCAGGATAGGCAAGAGTTCTGATCACCCCAGAGCTGTCACTCCTTTCTCCCCTTGCCCTACCCACCCTCCTCCC